TTTTTTTTTTCTTTAAATAAAAGCAAAGAAGTAAAATTATTAATAAGATAATTAACCTTTGTAGCGTTCAGGTAGCTGCTCAGCAAATTTCGGTCTTTGGTTAAGATGACCTGCTAAAGAAATGTGATTTTGGGCGTGGCGTGGTTGTTGATGTCAGGACTTGAAAAGAGAAGAAATTGCTGATTTACTGGGATTTTCCTGCTCACCTATCTGTCATTAGAGTGATCTGAAAAAGAGAAAATATGTCATGACCGGCAGCTCACTGTCAGAGGAGAATGGTTGAACGTTCGAGTAGACGGTCTACAGCAGCAGACTGGACTACATTTCTACAATTGCTGTTTCCAAAATTGGACAACAGAACACTGAAAAATCATCAAATTCGAAAGTAACTTTTTCTACATCCGAGTGCTTTTTGTCTAATACACACACACAGTAACACTCTGAGTGCATCGGGAGCAACTTGGCGTTCAGTATCTTGCTCAGCGATACTTTAATAAGCAGACTGGAAAAGCCAGCGATCACAAACCACCGACTTTCCAGTCACAGGCACCCTCATGACCTCCTTAGTCACTAGATTTCTACAAATGTCAGTCCCATCTCTTCATCACCTTTTGGAGTTTTTGCCTCATGGATGTGCAGCTGACAGATATACAGCATCTGTGTGCTATGATGACAATATAGATGTTTCAAGCACCTTGTTGAATCTGTGCCATGAAGAATTAAGGCAGCTGTGGATGCAAAAAGGGGTTCAGGCTCGTACCGGCACGGTGTAACTTAGTAGCCAGTTAGTGTAGCTGGTTCATCAGTAACCTTCTGTCTGTTGTCATATAGCATCTGGTGACTGTTGGTCGGGACTTTGCCTGCAGTGTATGGAGTGGCAACCAGTTGTCTATGAGTCTTAAATGGCATGAAACCATGTCTCAAATAGATGAGAAGACCTATCGATATTTGGCTTGCAGGTAAAACCTAATCTAGCTTGTTCTTCAATCAAAGAGCATCTTAGTGCTTCATACAGTACGGTGCACCCAGAAAGCATTCATGCTTCACTTGTTCCACGTGTTGTTACAGCCTTATTCCAAAACGCATTAACACAATCTCTCACAATGATGCAGTGAAACAAAGTTGACTGGAAATTTGTTTAAATTTGAAAAATATAAAATGGGACACTTCCACAAGTATTGAGTGTTTGTGACGGAGCTTCTGCATCCTGTTTTCATCACCTGTCAGATGCATTACTCAAGAAAAGTGATGCAGCATGTTACTTATTTACTCACTACAGAAAGTAATTTGTTACACTACTTGTTACATTGCATTGAGATCTGAAAATGGCTGTGCACTGTTGCTCCCCATCTAAGCTGACGGAGCTGCACTGTGCGTGTCAAGCTTGTAGCATTTAACAGCTGCCAGAGGTGCTTCAGCAAAGTACTGAGCAGGCTGTACTTATGTGCCAGTGTGCATCTTAGTCTTTTATTTTTTAATCAACTTGCAAAGCTTCAAGCAAACTTTTCCATTTTGTGGAGTTTAGTCTGCATGTGTAAAATAAATGGAATCCATCCATAAGACTAAGAGATGAAAAAATGTGGAACAAGTGAAGTGATGAGTTTCTCAGGTGCACTGTACAGACGTCTGTCAGTAACAATGACTGCATGGTTGTCTGTTCGCCTGTTTCAGGTTTGGAAAGGTTGAAGACCAGAAAGATGCCCTGAGACTTTACACCGTGCAGATCCCCCATAAACGAGACAGAAAACCTCCCCCGTGCTACCTCACCAAGTGGGACGGCAGGAGCTTATTGGCCATGCTGACGGCTCCCTGCGGCACGGAGGTCATCTCCAGTCTGGCTGTCAGGTAACGGCTTCATAAATGCTGACATGCAGACTGTGTTTGTTGAGATGTGGTATGACTACGATGTCTAACGAGGCCCTCGTTTCTGATTTCAGACTTTTTAATCTGATTTAGTGCGACCTAAGCTCTGCTCCTGCAGAGGCTGATTATCTGCTTTAATGTTGTCACGTCCTCACAGCGTGCGGCTCTGAATACTGTCGCTCCTCTGAACAAGTCTCAGACGTCCTGGCTCTAACTCACAAATACACAAGTAACTAATCAGTAAGCTTTAGAGCATTTTCATTTAGCCTGGAGAGCGTGTGAAAATGAGAATAGCTCCAGTTTTTTCCAGCACTGTATCCATGGCGACAAAGAGGCTCTGCTGACTGCTCCTTTTTAACCTTGAATAGTAATGACTTCATCAATAAAGTTGTAACCATTACACAAAACATGACTCATAACAGTCCCATAGACTTCTTACTGTATACAGCTACTTTCAGTGATATTTATTATTTAGACTCTGTCTCTGGCTGATTTTCCGAGTTTACCTGCAGAATCACTTTTAATCTTCACCCTCCGTGTTCATTTTACCTCGTTCCTACAAGGCTGCTCAACGACATCCTGCCATTAGCTAACTCTTCGATCTTTATCACTCTTTATTAATTATGTATGCATGTACATTTAGGATGGCAATAATTAAGCTATTACTTAAAAAGCATCTCTAGACCCAGCAGTCTTAGCTAATTACAGGCCAATCTCCAACCTTCCTTTATATCAAACATCCTTGAAAGAGTAGTTGTCAAACAGCTAACAGATCATCTGCAGAGGTTTATTTGAAGAGTTTCAGTCAGGTTTCAGAGCTCAGCACAGCACAGAAACAGCTTTAGTGAAGGTTACAGATGATCTTCTTATGGCCTCTGACAGTGATGCTTCTCCCACTGAAAACATCCAGATGGACAGAATCCACCTTTTGGGATCTTAATATTATACAGATTTACTAACTGTAACCCTCTAGTTGGGGGATGGACAAGGTACCTCTGGGTTCAGGCAACAAGGATGTTGGCACTGTTCTTTAGGTCCTGTGGTTTATGTGATGGTGACTCTTGTTCTAACACGTCCTATAGTCTAAGGAGCTTGGTAAGAAAAGTGTCTGGACCTCTTTAAGTTGCTTGAAGACGTTTCACCTCTCAAGCAACTTAAGGAAGTCCAGACACTTTTCTTACAAGCTCCTTAGACTACGATGACCTGGATGACCGAGAACCTTCACAGACAACACGTCCTATCGATGTTTACATTGGATAGTGTGGAGGCACTGCTCCATCTCTGTACTGCTTTAGCCTTAGCTGTCTTTTAGACGTCCCCTTTACTAATTTTCATCACTAAACTGGACCTCTGAACTAAGATGGCGCCCACAACAATGCTAAAGTCAAGGTCTTCAGTCAGCAACCACATCTTTTATCAAAAGTGATTAGTGTTTCTCTGAAAGCACGTTTGCGTAGCATATTGAGTTTGGAAAGGCAAGTCGGACTTGAAGCTGTTTGCTTTCTTCCTCGTAGTGACTCTGGAACATTTCTTGGCCTTGGAACTGTGACAGGATCAGTAGCAATCTACATCGCATTCTCCCTACAGGTGACACGCTGCACTTACAGATGCATAAATCCAACAAGCAGCCATGTTTTTAACTTGTAACGTGGTGTTTGTATGCAGAGGCTGTATTATGTACATGAATCTCATGGCATCGTGGTGACAGACCTGGCCTTCCTGCCTCACTCCATGAAAGGCAAGAACATCAAGGGGAACAATGAAACAGCCCTGCTGAGCGTAGCTGTGGACAGTCGCTGCCAACTACACCGTGTTGCCAGAAGAAGTAAGTCTTGCATCATCATTTATTAAACATGTCTCATAATCTCAGAGCCTGTTCATCATTTCCTGTGTTCTCTCCAGGATACTTCCCTGTTTGGCTGGTGTTGTTCTTCTGTGGTGTCCTGGTGGTGGGAGTCGTTCTCCTCCTACAGCACCTCTTTCCAGGGTTTATTTAAGTCGTACATGTTGCCACGAATGAGCATTTAATCATCTCTCTGCATCGGCGGACCTGAGTTCAGCCTTCATGCGTCCCATCACTGCACCGTTACTAAACCAAACCTGGAGAGCGTTAAAGGTTTATCATCGTTTAAAAGCCGGATTTTCATTGGATTGTTTTGTGAGGACGTTGCCTTTGATTAAAAAAACGTTCACAGTGAATGATCCATTGACTTTGAGTAACTTTAAAAAAATGTTGGCAGCAGAGACATGAATGATGACAGCAGCTGCTCGTTGGTTAAACATGTTTTTGTCTGGATTCAGCTCAATATAAATAAAAAGGAATCAAACTGAAATTGTTTTTCATTGGACGTCTGAATTCAGACGTTTCCTGTGCGAGCTTGTGTCGTGTTGCAGAAGAATAGCAAGTCTGGCTTTATGAACACCTGAACAGCTTCTTCAGCCTAAGGACAAAAATAAGACTTAAAAAACAACCTGATTCCATTTGGTTAAATAAAAGAATAAAAACTAATAAAAACCAATGATTTTAGCAGTTTACTTTGTGCTTCACAACAGTGACTGTTCAAGCTCTAAATTTTACAGCAGTTAGTTTTAAAACCCTGAAGTTTGAGCACAGTAGAAACTTGCTGTTGAACTCATCCAACAGGTAAACGTCTCAGATGACCAGACAAACCTTTGATTGTTGGGTCTTAAAAGTATTGTTTCTTGAGGCAACTGTTTGGTCCTGTGTGAATAAAACAGAATAAAACAACCACATGCACATAAAGGTTATTTTAATTTATAAAGACACTGGCTGTAAACAGCTGGCCTGAGACACAACAGACCAACAGGACTAATCGTTAGTGATCGTATGTCTTCATCAATAAACTGCAAACTTGCCTTCTCGTTAAAGAGCTCGAGCTCTTGTTGCATTAAGCAGTAGCTTTATTTCTGCTATCAGCTGTCACGATGTTTCAGCCTGGATAAGGTACCTCTGGGTTCTGGTAACAGGGATGTTGGTGCCTTTGTGGATGGGTCTGGTTGTAGCACATCCTGCAGATGTTCGCACTGGGATCTGGGTAGTGTGAAAGCTGCACCAAAAACTGCATGTACTTTAATATGCTGTTTTCCCTCTCCTTACAAAACTGCATGCCCAAAGTATTTTCCTAGAATATTATTTGGAAAGTATTCCCAGCACTTCACTCGTCATGTTACAGCCTCACTCAAAAATGCATGAAATCTTCACATCACACACAGTGCAGAGAAGTGATTGTGTGAATATTAGACAACGCTTCAGTAGAAAGGACACAAACAAGTATACCTGCCCAACTAAGAGTTTTCTTTCTTGTTCAAACTTCTTCCGCTGATGTTTGGACGCTTCAATCCTGCAGAAATATTTGTACTTATTCTCAGCATGATGTATATTTTACAGTACTGCCTAAATTCTTGATTTATGATTAAAAACCAGCTTCTATTGGTTCTTGGCTTTAAAAAATAAAATCAGTCACCTATTTAAAAAAATGCTAATGGTTGATATTTCCTACCTCTTGAGCTTCAGTAGGTGGCACTAATGTGACGGCGCAGAGCTGCTAACATGAACACTAGGGATGGGTATCGTTTAGGTTTTATCCTATACCGGTGCCAAATCGGTACTTTTGAAACGGTGCCGGTGCTTAAAGAATGGAGAACACAAACTTTGTCCAAGAACCTCTCATGTTCAGCTGTTTTTTTTGTAAAAAGATAACAATGTTAGCCTTTTCTGCAGCTATGTGGCATATAAGGCATCACTCTTGGCTGGAAGCAGTGCTTAAACAGTAGTTACCTGTTGGTCTAAACTGATGACCGGAGTGCAGAGCTCATGTCGTGGCCATTTACACCTGTCCAGGCAAACAACCTGCTGGTAACCCCGCCCCTTTAAAAAGAAACCCAAGTACAAACGTTTGCCTCTGCTGCTTAATGGCAGCATGTCCGAGTGTTATTAGATAAAATCTCAAAGACAAACATCAGCAAAAATATCAATACACACCAGCAACACCAGTGTCTGTATAAAAACACATTTGAAAAAATATGACAGATTAAATGATCTCTACATTATTTATATGCTCCCTTTACAAAGAGGAAAAATACAGCAAGCTGATACATTAATGGCACGATGCCCATCTCTTTGTTGTTGTATCAACAATAACAAAAACTGAAAAAGAGTCCTGCTTTCAAAACGTGGACTCTCTTCATCATCATCATCATCATCATCAGTGCTTTCAGCGGGGAAACGTTTCATCACCCATCCAGCTGACTTTGGTTTCAGCTTTCAGGGAGGAGCCTAAAAGAAGGTTTAAATGACAAAATCTTACTGAATACAGTTTTAGCGGCGCCATGACAACGTAGGACAAATCTGTCAAAGGAGGCGCCGCCTGTAAGAGGACATGGAGTCTACATGTTTACAGACTTGTTCCATGTTTCAAACTTTGTTTCGTTGCTCAGGTTGGGCTTTTGATACTTTGTGCAGTTGGTTGCTGTGTTGGCTTGTTGAGTCATCTAAGAAATAAATGGCAAACGATTACGACTATTTTTGGTCATGTAATTATAAAACCAAAGGTATCAAAAACCGTTCACTGTTATTGGCCCAGGTATCAAACAGTTACACAATACTGGCCCAAAGAGTAAACGAACGATGAAGGCCTGAGACGGCACAAAAACAAAACGTGATTCCATATATTGTGATAATGTTTATGATGCACTTTGATATATAATCTCGACACAAAATGTGTGTTGGTATGTGTTTTCAGTACAAAACGTATCTTCTAAATAATGTTTTAATCCTAAATAAATATCTGCATGAAAAACAGTCCATTTAAATACATGATTTGCATAAATCACCTAAAAATGAAATGCTGGGTGCTGGTTTAGCTCAGTGGGATGAGGAGGCGACCACATGCTGCAGGTTCTCCCTCTGCACTCCTGTCGGTCTCTGCTGTGTCTCCAATGAAAGCTGAAAAATGAAATCCTGGCACAGGCGTGAAGGGAGATCTGGACCTGTTTAAGGATTTTCCCTGTTCATCCAGCAGAAGAAGCAGCTGACTGCAAAAGGGTCGTCTGTGGAGGAGGTGGAGGCTGGAGACGGTCAAACCTGCAGACACTGCTCAGGCCATGGTATAGCCATAGCTCCCACAGTGCAAAGCCACCAGCAGGCGGTCCCTCAGGACCTCCATGCTTGGGTATTCTGGAAGTTTCAGCATGTTGATACTGTGGAGGGGGTAAAGGCGCCATGACCAACACAGCAGGGGAACAGCTCATTCTTTACCAAAACAACTGCAGCTATATTAATGACCTGTATGCTTGGTTTGAAACTTTCTAAGAAAGAAATGACTTTATGTACTTTTTCCCAGTATTTATTATATTTATATGTAATTTCTCTCTATTGGAAAATGAAGGGGGGATTAGCAAATGATAGCAGGACGGAAAAAGAGATCTGTTTCTAATTACCAGGTACTCGAGGTAGGCAGCAGGTTGGAGGTGTACGGGACTGCAGCAATAGTGAATTTCTGTAAACCGCTCCCACCCATCAGGTAGGCAAATCCTCCATGAGGAACCCTGGAACTGGACGAGGATTATATTAGCACCATTCCCTTTAAAAGGCATTTACACGTTTCTATATTTAAAAAAAACTGTAGAAGGAATCGAGCTGACAAACCTTCCCGTGACAAACTGAAGCAAGAGAACCCTCTCCTCCTGGGTCAGGCCCGTCACCACGTCCCAGAACCACTAGGGGGGAGGAAAGCTAATTAGCTGGCAGCTAAAGGACATCCTCATATTACTGACAATGACGAACTTCACTCTGTCTTTTCCTACGGAGCCATGAAGTAAACGTTTCCCTATAATCAGTGCTGTGTTCAAACTTAAGCAGAGCGTGACAAACAAAAGCGACGTGTAAACTCCATGTCAGCTTCACGTATTGTAGAGTAAAATTTTACTGTGAGAGGAAATCAGAGCAGGTGAAGAGATTCTCTGGTCAAAATTAGGAAACACTCGGTTTAAAGTGCAGTCACAGGCACAGACTCAGTGTTTTTCAGGAATTTCAAAAGTTATTTTTTATAGTTTTGCATTATTGAGTTCTTTTGCAATTCTTTACAAAGTACTCAACGAAAATGTGAAGGTGTCTCTGGTTGACTCAGGTCTTGTGTTCAAGGATTTGGTTCTTGTGTGGTAGCAGAGGGGCCCACCTGGATGACTGGCTCCTGAGTGTCGTATCCACTGGTGTACTCAGTGTTCCTACACCAGTCCTGCACATCAATCTCGGGCATCCCTGATAGTAGGAGCTCCTGTATGTGTGCACGTACACGCAGCGATGCAGCGACGTGCACACAGAGAGAAAAGAAAAGATACTAACTGAGACAGACACAACGTGGTTGGTTGAGCAATACACTCACACATGCTCACTAGGGCTGCCACGATTAGTCACTAGTCACGATTACATTGACTATCAAAATCGTCGACGACTGATTTAATAGTCTTCATTAGGCCTTCATTTCCCCAGATTTGAAGGATGGATCGGGTGTATACTTCGTGGCCCAACCTATCCCAGAATTCATAGCGCAGCCCAGCTCAGTTTCCAACAATGGCGGCAGCTAGTTAGCTTTAATATTACTCTTATTATTCTTTCTGGGTCACAAAATAAACGTTTAACATATTTTCAGGCGAGAATGTAGCTGTGTAAACCTCAAATATCTGCTCAGTTTATCAGGACACCGCATATTTTCAAAAGCGACGTTTTCGGAGACGTCTGTTAGCCACCAGCTCGATAGCTAGCCGGGGGCAAGGCTAACTAGAGCCGTGAGAACACCGGACTCCCGGCAAATCGTTTTCAAACCCACCACCGTCTTTCGCTACTCAGGTTAAATATATATGAGTCACTTAGATAAATTAAAAATGTTATTGTTTGGCTTTTTTTTAGTATTTTATTTGTTCCTGAGTGAATCGGTTTGTCTGAGATTAAAGTTATAGTTTTTACACAGCTGAATAAACGTCAAGCAGACAGCTGATTATCAGAAGTGTGAGATGCTCCAGAATTTACTCCGGTGTCCTGTTATATTTTAGATAGCAAGGAGTTTATTAAACTTCACCGAAACAATCTGCAGATTTCATTAAAATTTAATAAACTATCATCTTGTCTTTATTTTTAGTTAGCACCTTAAAAGCTTAAAGCTGTAAGCTAATGATAGTTATATAAGAGCAGATGCTGCTGGTGCAATAAGCTGTAGTTTTACGTCCAGTGGATGATGATCTGACTAGTCGACTATCAAAACAATCGCTTGTGGCAGCCCTGATACTCACACACTGCAGTGTGAGTATGTGTGACTATGGCCATTTTACCAAACCCAAAGAAAAAAAGTGTACCTGGAAGCAACACAGCACCTCCACACAGGAAGGCCCCAGCTGGATGGTGGATTTCATGCTGTTAAACCAAGCAGCCTAAAACCTCATGGTGTTGAGGTCTGAATGTGGTGCCAGTAAGGAAAGAACAAGGATAAAACTAACAAGAAGAGTAACTTGAGGAGGACTAACCAGTTCATATTCGTCAAAGAGCTGAATGAGCGAGGCGGGGATGAAGGTGTGGAATCCCTGCAGGAATGCATTTATCTGAGGCTGGATGGCTCGAGTCATCCTCAGCTCTGTCACTAGCTGCACATACTCGGCCTAACAGAAGAGGCACACAAAGACACCAAACCTGAAGAGATGCCGACTGACAGAAATGGAAAAGACAGAGTTTATACATACATGTCATTTTTAGCACTCTGCTTTAAGCAACAGCAACAGGAAACACTGAGGCACAAATAGCTGACATACAGTGTTACGCTTCATCCCTTCACCAACCAAATAAGTTCCTGCATTCCACTGACACTGGGACACGTCAGACTGTATTTGTGGTGACTGACCTTGTTGTCCTGGGTGACCAGGATGCTGGTCCCTCCGGGTTTTAGTGGCACTTCCTCCATCGCCCCGAACACATCAGTCTCTACTGAGAAGGTGAGCTCCAGGCCCAGATCGCTGATGTCATTGTCCAAGATCCACTGCAGATTCTTAGCATACTCTGGATCGATAGAAGACACGTCCTGGTAATTCACAGGGATACCTGTGAAACGCACAAGACAAGACGTCACCACACAACGTAGCACTAGAAACAAAAACACTGGAGCCAAGGAGGTGATATAATCTGACATTTTAAAAAAAGTCATATTACACTATAAAATATGGGGAATTTGGACGCCATGTCAACACCTCATCCTCATTGTGCTCCTCATCCTGCTGAAAGAGGGCCCGACAATCAGGGTGTGCATGGTCTGCACCAGTGGTTGTGTAGATGGTACATCGCCTGAGGCATCACACTGCCTCTGCTGGCTTGCTGTTTTCCCATAGTGCATTCTGACACCAGATGTTCCCTCAGGTGGGCGACGTAAAAGAAAACATGATTCATCGGATTAAGCCACTTTCTTCCATTGCTCCAGTTATGATGCTCATGTGGCCATTATTAGCATTTTTAGTGGTAGACACGGCTCAGCAGGAACAACGCTGACTGGTCTGCAGCCATGCAGCCCCATGTGCAACAAAAAGTGATTCACTGTGTATCCTGACACCTTTGCATCAGAACCAGCATTAAAACAGTACCTTATTTGTTGGATCGGAGCCTACAGGCATCACTCCCCACACGAATCAGTGTGCCTTGTCTGCCCATGGCCTTGCACTGGTTCTTTTGCTCGATGTTTCACTATGGGAATGACCTTGGCATGATCAGCTCCAGTGACATCGTGTGTCCATGACAGATCTGTCGAGATGTGGTCAGGGCTCCGCCCCATCATTCTAGCATGGCCAACCAGACGTGTTAGCTGTGCTTAATATGTCCTCAAAAGAAATGAACTCATAGTTACATTCTGTAGAACAGCAATCACATCGAAGAAAGCTGTTCCAGCAGTTTCCTGGTTTTAGTTAGCAGTAGGGTTGCCAACTCCCTGAAAAATAAATAAGGGACACCTCGTGGCCAGGGCCGGGCGACCCAGTTGTCTTCACCCTTCCCAGTGTGGTGAATTTTCTAGCTCTTTTTTTGTGTGTGAAATTATTTTTTTTAACCATTTGACTTGAAGTTGATTTAAGTAGATGCACTATTCTTTGTGATATGAACACATGTGAAACAAATGATCATTTAGCCATTTATTTTTAGCTCAAAATGACAACATTAACACAATAAAACAGGTCTCTTTCTTAAACAGAAGCCTGTCATGCTTAACTTTTGAGAATATAAGTAAATCTTTCTTTAAAAGAACTCTGTCCTGCTTAACTTAAAATAATAGAAAACAATAGAAAGAAAAACATTCTTGTAACAGTGCACATTTAGTGCATTTAGTACAATTGGCTTCAGTTGAGGTATTATTTCAGCTTTTCTAATGCTAATCAGCTGCTCCTGTTTGTAAACCCGCTTGTTCCCATGATTACGCATCTTAACTCATCATCATTATTCATCTATGTATTACTTTTATGTATTAGTCATCTATTTGTTGTAATCATCTATCCTTGCAGTTGTTTATTACACAAAATAAGTTATATTATCACACTTCTGGCCACATAGCGCTGATATTCACTGCACATGCCCATATTAACTTTTTCCAGCCAGGTGTTTTCCTTTTCCCATTCTTCCCTTTCTCTGAGGGGAACAAACATTGCTGCTCTAACGCTGGGCTCACACTGTGCGGTTTTAGGCCCATTTTGAGCCGATTTTTGAGTGATCGGACCGATTTTGGCCTTCATCGTGCGTCGTGTAGTATACGTGGGGTAACGAGAAGTGATTAACACCTCACGACCAGCTCCCGATCATCAATCGCTCGTGAGGGTGTCACCACAGCCGCTCACACTGCTCACGCGCAAACACGTAAACGTCGGTGAAAAAGACGGAGCAGCACGGCTGTGCAGCGTGTGATCTGGACACAAGCGATGGAGGCACAACTTGTAGAACTTTGGAAAGCTCATCCGAGCCTTTTCGATGTGGCATCACAAAATTATCACGACCACAACAACCGTGAAAATAGTTGGATTTACATGCTGCTCAATCACAGCTGCCTGATCATGTTTTTCATTAGCAATTTAGCAAAGTTGATGGTGGTGGTGTGTCTGTGTGAGTGAAAGACAGAGAGAGAGAGCGACAGATTTTCTGTTATAACCTTCATGTTATGGAGGCACAGTGTGAGCACTCAGGTCGCATCAGAGCATCGGGCGGTATAGTGTGAGACCTGCATCGTGACCTACCAACTGCGAGTCAATCGTGCAGTTTGAGCAGGAGCTGAATAACGTGACTGAAAAAATCGCACAGTGTCTGCCCAGCTTTAGGTGTACTGTCGTCCGAGACTTGCACCGCAGTGTCGGCGTTTGTTTCCCTGTTGGCCATGCTTCTTGTTGTGGTCATCTGTTGTCTTCCGGTATTTTCTCCGTAAGCGACCTTTCCTCGACCAATGAGATGAGCGGTAATCTGAATTGTCATACTCGAATTGTCATAAGTGTGCTGTCAGCTCATTGGTCACAAAGCAGGAGAGGGGCTGGGAATTATGTTTTCAAACAAAGCGTTAATTCCATTAAAAGTTATAGACTACTTTTGATTCTCACTGTATTACGGGACAAAGTGCGTCCCTTATTAGCTCAATACGGGACGTGTACTTTTGTTTCTAAATACGGGACGATTCCGTATTTTAAGGGACGGTTGGCAACCCTAGTTAGCAGCGTACCCAACGTTTGTGTAACTCGGGCTAACGCATTATGGCAAGCCTTTTTAGTGTCTAGCTAGCATCAGCTTGTTAGTAGGCCACAAACCATGCTAGTGTCACACCACATTAGATGGTTAGCCGATTCTAGGGTTTGGCTAGCATTAGATTTGTCACTACCCGGTCCGTACCACGTATGTGCAAATCTTACGTCTCTTCTGCGCTGGCTAGTAGAACTCAGCTAACGTGTCATGTTGATTCTCACAGCAACTAGCTCGGCCCTAACCCCAGCTGCTAGTGCTTGCTACAAACAAGCAAACCTGGTGTAGCTTAGTTTCACCCCTTTCTGTTACCATGACTACGGCTCCTACCCACGCTGGTCAGACTGAAGGCCAAAGAGGCGTCATCCCACCCGTCCATTATGTGGTGCCCCGATTAAGAGCAGGGACACTCACCTGTGTACATTTGTAATGGCACTAAACATGGCCAGGCTTCTCTGGCGGACCCTCGAGGCTGCCCCCACTGTGCTGAGATGCCACAGAAGGTCTTGGAATGGAGGTTGAGAGTAGCAGGGACTAACTGTCAGGGTGCCTGCTTGCCAGCTGCTACTGCTGCAGGTGATACGCATCATCTACGAGCCACCACGAGCTGGGCAGACATGATTGAGAAAGATCCCCCCCACTCTCCTAACATTTGAGGTCCTCCTGGATCAAAACATGGCTGAGCTGGGTGGCAAGGACACAGAGAGTGATGCCAACTCCAACCTCATCAACCTAGGGAACATGGAGGAGGAGGAGGACTCCACGTTCCCTGCAGAGCAGTGCAGATCACCAAATAGGGCAGAAGTTACACCCCCAGTAGACACCAACTTGTATGAGGTCTGAATACCTAGTTGCCAAGCTAGTAGTCCCATGGCCAGCGGCCTAAGATATTTAAAGGGGAAAACACAACCTGTGTGGTGGCAAGAGCCTTCCACCAGCAAAGAAGCTTCTACCAGCAGTCCCAGTTGGCATGAAAGAAATGAGGCACTTCTGTTCAACCCATTTTAAGACAAGCTTGTGACCCAGGGGTGCTGGGTCACAAGCTGGAGATCCAAGAGATGGGTGAGCTCCGGTTGACCAAACCCAGGACGGCAAGGCAATCTCAGCTTCTTCTAACATATCTCTGCCCAGGAAGACAGATCGCCTCAACACATTCTTCCTATCAAAGGATGCACAGGTATATATGTAAGGATAAGTGAGTTTGGTGTGGAATAACTTGACTGGTCTACACAGGCCAATCCACAGAGTCCTGACCTCGACCTGACAGAACACCTTTGGGATACGTTGGAGACTGCGAGCCAGGCCTGCTCAGCTAACATCTGTGTGTGACCTTACAAATATGCTTCTGGATCAAAAATTCCCATAGACCTCATGGAAAGCCTTCCCAAGAGTTGAAGCTGTTATAACTGCAAAGAGTGTATGTGAAATCCTATGGATTACAAATGGGATGCCACTCAGGTTCATATGCATGTTAAGGCAGATGAGCTAATATTTTTGTCAATACATTAAACTAAAGGCGTGGGACATATTAAACTGTATCTGGATATTATCACTTACAGTCTAATTTTTCCACAGATCCTGGAGAAACATTGAAGGGACTTTCTCATCAGTCTGGTGTTTGGTGCAAAACTCAAACTTTATTACTTAAAGGTAGGTAACATCAGGTATTAGCAACCAAAGTTTCTTACCGAGTATGTGTTTGTAGAATGAGCGTGTGAAGTAGATGTTGACCAGCTGCCGGTGGTACAGAGCGAGACCCAGAATCTGACCTGCGAATCGAAAGTAGTTCAGATGGTCTGGGTTCACTGATGAGTTGCTGTTGGGTTGAAACGTTGTACCTGTGGATCATAGACACAATTTGTGATAAACAGGTGTGTGTGTGTAAGTACACTTTGTTTGTTTCAGCGTCTTAGAGAGACTCATCCTGAGACACTTGCGTCTGCTGGTGGAGCCTTGGCTGGACCCCCTGCAGTTTGCTTATCAACCCGCATCGTGTGGAGGATGCCATCATCTACCTGCTGGACCAGACTTATTCTCACCTGGACATTGTTGGGAGCACTGGGAGGGTCATGTTCTTTGACTTCTCTAGTGCTTTTAACACAATCAGACCATCACTGCTGGGGAATAAGCTCACAGAAATGCAGGTGGACGCCTGCATTTCTTGGATCACGGACTATTTAACAAGTCAACCACAGCATGTTCGGCTGAAGGGCTGCCGCTCGGACAACATCCCGAGCAGCACGGGGGCGCCGCAGGGCGGTCATATCACCCTTCCTCTTCACCCTCTACACGTCTGACTTCAGGTACAAGTCACAGTCATGTCATCTGCAGAAACTCTCTGATGACTCAGCCATTGTGGGCTGTATCAGACGGACAGGAGGAGGAGTGCAGGAGTGTGGTGGACAGCTTTGTCGAGTGGTGTGAGCTAAACCATCTACAACTTAACATCACAAAGACAAAGGAACTGATCATGGACTTTAGGAAGCAGGCTCCTCCTCCTACCCCTGTCACCGTCAGAGGGGCTGATGTGGAGATCGTGGAGGACTACCGGTACCTGGGGTAAACACTGTAAACTGGACTGGACCAAGAACACCAATGCTGTCTTTAAAAAAGGGCTGAGGCGGCTCAGGTCCTTCAATGTTTGTAGGAAAATGCTGACCATGTTTATCACTCTGTGGTGGAGAGCGCTGTGTTCTTTGCAGCTGTGTGCTGGGGCAGTGGGGTGAAGGAAGCCGATGCCAACAGGCTGAACAAGCTGGTTAACAGGCTGGTTCTGTCCTGGGTGTCAGACTGGAGAACCTGGAGGAGGTGTCTGAGAGGAGAATGCTAAAAAAGCGTCTTTGTATCATGGACAACCCCTCCCACCACATGCACGCCTCCATGATGGACCATCGGAGCACACGCAGCAAAAGACTCATTGCCCCGAAATGCAGAACTGACCGCCACAGGAAATCCTTTGTGCCGGTGGCAATAAAACTGTACAACTCCTGAGGATTAATAACAAAGCTATTCTGTTCCCATTCAGACCGTGCAATATCACCAACAGTTTTTCATTGAATGTTGTTTCATCTTTTATCCATTTGCACAATACTATGTCACTTTTAGAATCACCGGCACTGATAGCTAAGCTATTTATTTTTCAGGTACAGTTATATTGTTTCTTCGTTACAGTTATTTCATATTATATTTTGCACTATCCTACTGTATATTACTGTATACTAGTATTCTTATTGTATATATTGTATATCTTATTCCTCTGCTCCTCTGTCTCTCTTGCTGCATTGAGCATGTGTATGACAAAAGAATTTCCCTCGAGATAAATAAAGTTCTTCTTATCTAATCTCATCTCTCTGGCATTTATTCTCTCCTCTCTCTCTCTAACACAGTGCTCTTGCACAGCATGGCTTCATGACTTAATGCATTTTTTAGATTAACTTGGGAAGCAGTCGTGCATTTTCCTCCCACAAATTTGTAAATTATGATTCTACAGAGGCAGCCGCCGTTGAGCAAGTATTGGGGAGCCATGCTAGTTCCTAAGTGCGACTAAACTGTGCCTCATCTTGTCAAGCACGTCAGTACAAAATGATCTTAATAGCAAGCAGTGGTCACACAAACATGGCATGAGATCATTCTGTGGATCACTCTGTACACCTGAACTCTTGTGATTTAAAGGAAAAATGTCACGTACCATCAGCTGACTGAGTGAACAGAGCGTAGTCTGGGTTGATGATCTCATTGGATAGAATGTCAAACCACTCCCGAACTACACCTTGGCCCTGAAACACACACACACACACACACACACACACACTCTCAACACACAACCGCACCACACACACACACACACACACACACACGCACACACACCACACACACACACACACACACACACACACACACACACACACACACGCACACACACGCACACACACAGCACGCAACACACACACACACACACACACGCACACACACACACACACACAGTACTCTGCGTCTTTAATACAAACTACAATACTACTGTTTATACTGTTAACAGCTGAACTGCAGACAACTCACCATACCCTCCTCGCCATGGAAACGAACAGCAATGCCTTGTTTGAGTTTTTCATTGGTGGACTTTGAAACCATCTCACAGCTACTCCTAAATATGGAATCTGATGGTGATATGGGGAAATACAATTTGTATTTTGTCGAACAAACGTTTTCATACAGATCTTCGGTTCTATGACGGTTGAATGTTATTTATTAGGGTCTTCTTGTCATTTCCCATTCAGCTGTCGCACATTTTGGACCAGTTTGTTTGACCAATGGTATTTTGAACCTTCAATGGCCCAACTGCTTTGGGCAGACCTGCTGTATGTTTCCACGTTTGTTTCCGTGTTAGGACACTAGTAGACAGAGTTTATTAGATACTTTGTTACCTTTTATCATGTTACTTTAGGTTTTACACCATACAACACCTTCAACTTGCCAACAGCTCTCACATGGCCACATTCACAATCTCATTCCGTATGCATAACCCTGCAAATGACATCAGTGACTGGACACGAGCAGCTTAAGTGTGTCTGTACCTCTGTGGATGAGCAGCACATCATTCTCATTGACTGGACGATGAACCATGTCAGAATCCGGCTGGCCGGCCAACAGATGCTCGTAGAACCACTCACACCGATCCTTAAAGGGCTGACGGGAAGACAAGACTTTATTTCACACTGCACAGCACTTTCTCAAACTAATTATCACTTGGCTGTGTTTTCAATTTTAAGGTTGGGGAATTTTTCAATCCGAGTTGATTCCTCAGGAAGTGTTTTGTGCTGAAACGCTCATCTGTAATTCAGAGACAAGGCCATTTCCATAATATATGCCTTTATTCTCCAAGCACTGAGGAGTGAAAGATAGAGTGCACTGAGAGAGGAATAAGGAAGCCTGTAATTAAAACAAGGACCTACTCCCAGGTGAGCTATGATCCATGGACTTTCATGCTGCAGCTCAAATATAAATACTAAAGATAGGATAATTAATACAACTCAGAACAGCCATTAAAATTAATGAAGCTGAATGAACTTTTCTTAAGACAAGTGTTCTCGCCGTGAAAGGAACACTTGATCATGAAATGACATGGGGTCACTCAAAGTCTCACAGGACTACAAGATAAATAAGGTTTAAATCCATCGGCTGGGCAGGACCTTTCTGTTGGTGTTTGTACATCCTGCCCTTGGTCTGAGTGTGTTCTCTCAAGGTTCTCCAGCTTCCTCCCACAGATCACAGAAGTCCAGTTTAGGTTGAGTGGTAGTTCTAAATTGGCTGCAGGTTTGAATACGAATAGCAGTCTGATACAAAAAAAGTCAGGTACAAAAAGCCAAATGTGAAGACGGACTCTTCAAAATAAGCAGCATGGTAAAATAAAGTTATTTGGCTAAAGAAAACAAAATTGTCAGTGTTTTTCTAAATAATATCACACTGATCCAACTTTGAAGCAGTTTGCTTAGCACTGACTTTAACCACGAGTTATCTGTCATTCAACTTTTATTGTTTCATTTATATCAGAATAACAAGCAGGCTGGCTACAAAGATCATTTTCTTCTTCTTTTTCAAGCGCCTTAAAGGATCTGTTGTCAACAAGTTTTGACAGAGTCTTCTAAGCCTAATGATGGTACGCTAATGAAGTCAGGAGACTCAGAGAGTAGGCCTGGCTCACAGCCTCTGCTGTAACTAATCACAAAGCTGTTCTATGGGGTTGAGGTTAGGACTCTGTGCGACCAGTCAAGTTCTTACAAACAAACAAACCTGCTCATCCATGTCTTTATGGACTTTGCTTTGTGCACTGCAGTGAGTGATTCAAAAGACCTCTATGAGAGAAAAACGTAGGGAACAGTTCGTCCTGCCCAGGATAGGGTTACCAGGGAGCCTTCCAGGAGCAGGGCATGGGGAGGGTGCCTGAGGACGGGCAACTGGTGGCCAGGCCTTAGCTCATGGGGTTTCGCTGGGCATAGCCTGAAAAAGGGCATGCGCCCATCCACCTGTAGGTCCACCACCCGCAGGGGGTGCAGTAGGGGTAGGCTGCAATATGTGCAGCCAGCCAAGGGTGGAGACCCTGGTGGACTGATCCCCAGAGTTGCCTTTGGTGAGAGGTGATGGGCAAGGGTGGGTATCTTTAGTATCCCCTCGGCTTGCTGCCTGTATGTTAGGGTTTTGCCCAGTGGACAAGTGGGTTTGTTCCCTGTGCCTTTGGGTCGGGGAACGGGTCCTGACTGTTGTCTGTGCTTATGGACCAAACAGTTCAGAGTACCCGGTCTTCTTGAACCCCCTCGTTAGGGTGCTGCACCTGGGGAATCTGTATCTTACTGGGAGACTTAAACGCTCATATTAGCAACAGAGAACTGGAGAGGGGGTGAGTGGGAGGAATGGTCTGCTAGATCTGAACCCGAGCGGTGTTCTCAAACGACAGTTTGTCTATAACAAACACCATGTTAGAACACAGGGGTGTCCATAAGTGCATGTGGCACCAGGACACCCAAGGTTGCAATCGAGGTTGTAATCGTATCAACAGATCTGCAGCTGTATGTTTGGGACACTCAGGTGCAGAGAGGGGCTGAGCTGTCAACTGATCGCCACCTTGTGGTGAGTTGGGTCAGTAGCGGGGGAGGGCGCTGGACAGACCTGGGACACCTAAACGTATAGTGAGGGTGTGCTGGGAACACATGGAAGAGGCCCACGAGCTCGTTCACAGAGCTTCGTCAGCATTCTGAGGGAGACTGGGGACACTGAGTCCAAACGGCCCATCCTCAGCACCTCCATTGCTGAAGCTGTTGCACTGAGCTGCAGCTGCAAGGTGGTTGGTGCCTGTGATGGTGGTAACCCCGAACCAGATGGTGGCTGAAGCAAAACCCGGGTGTGGGAAGAGTTCAGAGAGGCCGTGGAAAAAGGTTTTTGAACTTCCTTAATGAGTTTGTGGCAAACCTTTAAGCGACTGAGGAGGTAAAGGTGGTGCTCTGACTGCAATGTGTGTAGTGTGGGTGGAGCGCTGCTGACTTCAACTGAGGATATTGTCGGGCAGTAGAAGGAATACTTTGAGGATCTCCTTAATCCCACTGACACATTCCTGTAGAGGAAGCAGAGTCTGTGGATGAGAAGGATGACTCGTCTATCACAGGGGGCGAGGTCACTGAGGCAGTTAAACAACTTGTTGGTGGCAGAGCCCCAGTGGGAGGGTTGCCCTGAATCCCTGAAGGCTCTGGATGTTGTAGGGCTGTCTTGTTTGTATGTTGTAGAGGCATGAATGCCTCTGCTGCTGCCCCTAATACCCAGCCTCAGATAAGCAGAAGAAGGTGGATGGATAACTTATAGATTAATTAATAAATGTGGGATCAAGAATGGGTGGTAGGGTCGTCAATGGGGTGAGAATCACAAAATACTGGTGATAATGAACTAAAAAATGTCAGGAAGTGTTACCACCTGACCGAGAACTCCGGGGCTTTGCCATGGAGAAAATGAAAATCAGAGCTGATATAGAAGAAGAGATGCAGGTCTGCAGGTTTGCACCGTGGGAAGTCGGATGAATGTTCCAAAGACAAATCTTTTGAATACTAGTATTGCTGTACTTATTCTTAGGGACGTGGCACACTATAGGAAGGAAGAGAAACTATTCAGCAGAAATAAAGGGCGGTTTTATTAGCTCATCAAAATTATTTAAGCTGTTTACAGACACTGAGCTGTACCACTGTCTCTGTAGGCAGAAGTGGGGCTAAGGATGGCTGCCTTTATCTTTCCAGGCAGCTCTGTTTCTCTCTTGTACATAATAGGTAGTCATATATTTATTCGATTATGTCTTACCTGGCCTTTAATGATATGCATGAAGCGTGACATCAGCTCTGGACATTCAAGGAGAAAGTGGAAGTGGTTAAAGATGATCTTTGGATTTCTAAGGAAGAGGTCCAGACGGAAATATAAGGGGAAAAATGAGAGAACAAGGAAATGAGAGTGGAAATCAATTCAGAGAAAATACGTTTCTGGATCAATTCATACTTTCTAATGTTTATGTTAAAGAGCCATGCTGACTCACCTGATAACGAAACACTTGAGCACATCATCATTGTTGCAGACAAACTCAATGAAGCGGGGTGATGTCATTCTGGGTGTGGAAACAGAGAGAGGTCAGAAGGTACGAGAAACAGAAACCAGAGAAAAGACAGAGCAAACTGAAAAGGGCAACAGCTCACTTCATGTCAATAACAGTCCACATTTCCTTGTTAATTAAGCATCTTTATAGATCTAATCCATAAATGTCCACTAATAGTGTGGGAGCAAATGGGATGAAGCATGGCTGCTTCCAGTGGAATCTGCCTCAGATCAGTCAGTCTGACCTGACATGAATGTGAAATATTTCATTTCGTTTTAAAAAGGAAGGTTTGGGGGAGCTATGTCTTCTGAATTCAATCTGGGAGCTGGTTTCACAGAGGAACCACAGCCTGATGGCTGAAGGGTTTCCTCACAATCTAAAGTTTTGACCTGTGTTTTGACTTACAGATAGATATTTGGTTCATAGTTTGCTATGGGTGCCTGCTTCAGTCCTTAAAGAATCAGTCAGTTTTTCCATGGAGTGTATTTCTTCTGATCTATACAGCCGTGATCTGTCCTCGGAGGATCACATTTATCCTCATTACGGCTTTGTTACTTACAATAGTAAAATTCTGAAGAGATGTATATCTTTAGGTTGGGTAAAAAACATCATTCTGGGTTTTGCAGGGATATCACAACCAAATATGTCCTTGAAAATTAAGAGAATTTTATCCCAGAATGATTGCAGATTTATATACAACCATTAATATGATTGGAATTTGGTATCCGTATGGTCTCCAGGGGTTTACTTTTTACATGTGAAGTAATAACAAAACTGATTAGATTGTTTCCTGATTAAAGTATCTTCATCTTTTAGAGCTGTTTGGAGATTTCCAGTCACTTCCCGACAGTTTCAAGCTCAGTTCTCTTTCCCATTTGAAAACATTTGATCATTACACATTAGCAGCATTAGCAGTAGTTGGATGTAGCAGTAGTATTGTAACAGAACTACCACAGTAATAACTAATGACGAATGATAAGAAGAAAACTGAACACTCTGGATTGTATAGCTGCAGGTCTATTTGATTAAAACTGATATTTAACAGTCTCTATGTCAGCAGATGGCCCCGCCCCTCCCTGAGCCTGGTTCTGCCGGAGGTTTCTTCCTGTTAAAAGGGAGTTTTTCCTTCCCACTGTCGCCAAAGTGCTGCTCACAGGGGGTCATATGATTGTTGGGTTTTTCTCTGTATCTATGAAGCGCCTTGAGGCGACTTATGTTGTGATTTGGCGCTATATAAATAAAATTGAATTGAATTGAATTGAAATGATGCCATCTGATGTTTACTACCATTGGATCTGACAGAGGGATGCAGAGCTCATACCCTTGGGGCATCTGACAGGAGCAACACATGTAGAAAGCCTGGATAACAGCACTGAGTCGACTGGCTGTCATGGAGATGACGTCCTCCCCGTCAGCATACGCCTCTGATTCAATGACAATCTGATGATCCAGCAAGGAGGGAAGCTTTGGCGTGGACCCATCATGTTCTGACTCACGCTGTTTCAGAAGCAGAGAGGCTATATCGCTGCTGGAGGAGGAAGATGGGTTCTTCCTATTCCTTTCCAGCTCTGTAGAGATGAGCACCAGCCACTCATCCAGGGAGTGCCATAGTAGCTCCAGAGGCTGCAGGGTGACAGTTAAGGGACAAGAGGCTTGAGGAGGGAAACAGAGGATGCCTGCAAGTAGGGCTGGGCGATATGGCCTAAAATAATAGACCCATTTCTGTAATATACTCACATATCTATATTATTGCTAATATATATTGTAATATCACTAAAGCACTTCTGGATGGATGCAAACTGCATTTCGTTGCCCTGTACCTGTGCATGTGCAATGACAATAAAGTTGAATTCTATTCTATTCTATTCTATTCTAAAATCCATATTGCGGTATAATTTGAAGCATGTGCGGTAACGATATATATCGTGATATATTCTTTTCCTCTGTATAACGTATTTTACACACTATAAGGTGCACTTAAAATCCTTTAATTTTCTCAAAAATCGACAGTTCGCCTTATGTATGAATTCTGGTTGTGCATACTGACCTCGAACCAATTTTATGTGGTACACGGCGCTCAGAAATCTGAGTGTTTTAGTACGACTTTGGTAAGCTATGAAGCCGCAGCGCTTGATGGATTGTCGGAGTGTTAAGGCTACCGTAGTCAGGAGCCTCACGGAGGAATCTGGGTCCTAAACTCCGTCTGTTTCAGGTCCCAAAGTCAAACGAACACTGCGGCATCACTGAGAGTTAAAAACTGTCTAAATTCTTTCATCTTTAATAAAACAATCAGCATTGCTGCTTTACCAGGTGTAACAATTAATCAATTATGTTTTCATGGATGCCTGGATGTTAAACTTAAATTTAACGGAGTTAGAAGTTAGCAGGAAGTTAGCTCGCTAGTTTCCACCTAAACATGATATACCATGTTCTGACTGAGAGATTTCTGAAAAAATTCAAACATACAGCTCTGCTATCACTTCCAACATAAATGAAGACAGGAAACTAAACAGCAGTGACGTTTGTAGGGTTACTGAAGTTGGGCTAGCTGGTATATAATGATGTGCTACGTGACTGCTAGCAACACAGCTATGTTAGCATAACTGTTAGGTTGATTTTGATAATAGCTGCCATTATTGTACTTAAATTTGTAAACCTTGCCTTAAACTGCATGTTTAGATATTCTTCTGTTCCTCCCCTACACATCTAGGGTGTGGGGGAGGTAATTAGTTATAGTGTTTAACTGCAGGCACATCCTATGTAAAGGTTCTGTGTCTTTATTTAGTGAGGATGTTTACTTCTTGCCATTTAGGGGCTCGCCTGTGCTTGTATATGGTGAACTATTAAAGTTAAGCCATGTACAGGGTGAGGGGAGGACGTTCACTCCTTTCTGGTGTTCTGGCATACCTCATATAAATCTTAAGTTCATGGGAAGGTTGCATCTTGTCTTGTGATATATGGAGTGTATTCCTTTGCAGACAGCATAGTGTAATATCGTTAGGCCTGGCTGAGTAGGTTTCACAGGGTCATATTTTGACCCACACACAACGACAGGCTATACTCTGTTCACACAAATGCCTGTTTAAGATGTCACGTATTGATGAAACTACACATACTCATGTAACCACAATAAAAGGAGCGCTATGGGAAGTCCGGCCGAGAGTTTGACAGGGTTCAAGTGAAAGGAACAGCGCTTAACCTCAGTCGGCCTCCCTCGCACGAGAACACACAAAGAGCTCTGTCTTGTGTCTTGTTTTGCTGCTGCAATTGGTTGTCTAAATTGTTCCAGCAGGGTTTGTACTTAGATAAACCCAACAATAACCTTAGCACAGTGAAGTTGGAGGATGAATGCTAACTTTTTTCCACTCGATAAAAGTTAACATGAGGGTTCCCGATGGTTAGGGACAAATGCAATCGCATGGCAGGATGCTGTAAACAGACCAAACTTCAGTCAGGAGAACAACTGAGATAATCCATCCACAACACGAGGTTAGTCATTAATATACTGCAACAACATGGGAATACAGTAGCTGCCAGAGGATTCAGCATTAATGAATCAATGGTAGGGAAGTGGAGGAAGTGCAGTTTTTAGCTTTCCCCATATTCCAAAAGTGCTTTGTCTCTTTGCTATTACGGCATCATTTGCAGATGACCTCGCCTGCAGCTGCTGCCATGCCTTCGACCAAAACAGGTGCAGCTTGATGACACCATCAACATGCGCTATCGCGGTAGAGCGGTATAGTCAAAATCTCTAAATTTCTATCGTTTCTACCGTATACCGTTTCTACCGCCCACCCCTACCTGCGGGTTCTATAAAGCTTAATTCAAGACTTCAGCTAGCTCAGACCAAATTAACAGAAAGCTGAAATGATCCAAATTACATTTATCCACCTGTGCATAATCCATGAACGTTATAACTCTACTACATGTTAAAGGAAAGAGACGGAGATTGAAACGACATTAAGATGACTCTGTAGATTTTACTCTAATTAGGTATAATCAGCTGGTTCAGTCCGACTGATGGCCTATAAAAAGTTGTCTCATTATCAGGTTGTCATACAAGAAGCATCTCATGATGGGTTAAACCAGCGAGATCTCTCAAGACCTTTGCAACCTTATTGTTGCAGAACTGATGGCATCGGTTATAGTAGATTTTATAATAAACTATTGACGGTTCCAGTGAGCACTGCTGAGGCCATAATCTTTAAGTGGAACAAACGTCATTTCACAATAAACAGGCCATGACCAGCTACCCCCTGCAAGATTTCAGACAGAGGAGTGAAAAGAAGAGTGAGAAGAGTTGTCCAAGAGCCAAGGACAACTTGTGGGGAGCTACAGAAAGACGGGGAATCAGCAGGTACAGTTGTTTCAAAGCACTTAAGGTTTGCTGAACAACATTTAGACAAGCCTGTGACATACTGGGGAGAATATAGTCTGGTCAGATGAGACTAAAATTGAACTCTCTGGATGACCCATGTTTGGAGGTCAAAAGGCACTGCATATCACCCCAAAACACCATAGCAACAGTGAGGTTTGGAGGTGGGAACATCATGGTGTGGGGCTGTTTGGCAGGATATGGCACCCTCATGCTTTATCTAACTGAAGGAAGAATAAATGGGGAAAATGTACCAAAATTTGCTGCCATTCACCAGGATGAAGAGATTCAATGAGGCTGGACCTTTCAGCAAGACAGTGATCCAAATGCACATCCAAGAAGACTTTCAGTTAGTTTCAGAGAAAGAAGACCCAGCAATCACCTGGCATTCTATTCTATTCTACTCTAGCACTAACTGCCAACTTTTACCTTTAAAAAGAACAAAACTTTGCAGTTGTACTTTCCTTTTGTTCTCTTCAACAAGAAATACAAAAGTATTTGTATGCTACCAGATGTGTTACCTTAAAAACTTGGCTGCGTGGCGTCTTGTTTCCATTGTAGCCCATGTCATTGCCAGTGTTTGGTGATGAAGGTCCCAGGCGGAACACATGGCAGAAAATACGAACAATTCTCAGCAGACTCTTCATCTGCGCTTCATAACTGCTAGACAGGCTAAGAAAAAAAAAAAACAGGAAATAAACACACCTTAGCACTGATTAACTATTGTAATAGCTTGTAACAAATGCATGAACCTGGATAAGATGCAGTGTTTGTTGGTCTCCTTGTGCTGGGTCTTTTCTTGCTTTATATCTATACACCTTTAAATAACTCTGAGTTACTGAACAGTCTTTTTCATGACACTCAAAATTGAGCTCAGGTGCATCCTGTTTGGAACCACCTTGGACCTTGGACTAGAGCAAAAGTTCATCTTTCAACAGGAGAACAACCCTAAGACAGCCACGATAACAAAGGGTGGCATCGAGACCACTCCGTGCGTGCCCTCTGGGCCCCAGCCAGAGCTCAGACTTGAACCTGCCTGAAAATTCTAGAAGGATCTGAAAATGGCTGTGCACTGATGCTCCCCATACAAGCTGACAGAGTTTGAGAGGTTCTGAAAAGAATAATGGGAGAAGAAATTGCCCAAAAATAGGTGTGAAAATATCCAAAAAGGCTAGACATCCATCCATCCATCCATTTGCTCCCGCTTATCCTTTTCAGGGTCGCGGGGGTGCTGGAGCCTAACCCAGCTGTCATAAGGCAGGAGGCGGGGTACACCCTGGACAGGTCGCCGGTCTGTTGCAGGGCTAACACACAGAGACAGACAACCATTTGCACTCACATTCACACCTATGGGCAATTTAGACTAATCAAGTAACCCATCCCCACTAACGGCATATCTTTGGACGGTGGGAGGAAGCCGGAGTACCCGGAGGGAACCCACGCAAACACGGGGAGAACATGCAAACTCCACACAGAAAGACCCCGGCCTGATGGTGGAATTGAACTCAGGACCTTCTTGCTGTGCGGCAACAGTGCTAACCACCGTGCTGCCCTTAACAGACAATTGCTTTTAATTATTGCTATGTTTATACTCAGTGGTTTAACTATCCTTGAGACATGTATGGGAATTGATGTGAACACACTTGTGCTAATCTGACTATTTGAACCAAGTCTGGAAAATCTAGCCATAGATGAGAGCAAAAGGTTAAACCCATTTATAAAACCATGTCTGTTCCCAGTAAATGAAAAGAATCCTTATAGACTATAGTGAATCAAATACTCCAGCAAGCATGAGTCAGGAAGGTGACCAAGATCCCAACAGTGATATCTTCTTCTGACCAAGTTAATGGCTGAGTATACATAAGTATACATTCTCTTAATGATAAACACATTTAAGTCCAAGAATTCTATCCCTACAGCAAGGTATATTCTGCTATAGAGGTCCTTCTCCACAACACAGAGAGTGAAACTGGTCACTTAAAGAAAGAAGGAACACACGTCAAATACAGCGAGCTTCTTGAAAGGTTTTTCTTTCAGCATGATAATGACCGAAGGTTCAGGGCAGCGGTTGCATCAACCACTAAGCCAGCATTAGCACAACTCTCAGCTGCTGTGTTCTTCTCAGTTTGTCTTTTTACTTTGGACATTTTTCCCAGTGGAAAACAGTTGTCACACTTATTAAACGCCTGAACGCGTACGTGTGTACCAGCAAAGTGGGGATTAGTAAGTGAGATTAAGAGAAGTTGAGCAGGACCAAGTAGCCGACATGCCTTACCCCACTGTCAGAAAACACAAGTTCCTGCTGGTACCTTTCAACCTCGCACACTAACTCAGGATCCTTCCCTACCAGGGAGGTGACATTCCATGTCCCAATCGATTTGGGGGATCGGTTTGCAAGGGCTGCCGCCCAGTGGCGTGTCCAGCGGGGTGGCCTGGGGGGGCACAGGCCACCCCCCCCAACCAGACTGGCCACCCCAGGTGCCACCCCAAAGGTAAAACAATAAAATTCAATCAAATATCAAATGTACGATTATGTTTTCACGATGAAGCTCAGATATCCGAGTGTAAGTGAATGCAGCATCGGCTTCTGCGCTATCACGTTAGCAAAGGTAGGAGAGCCAAGCACGAAAGACGGCACCGCAGGAAACAATTTTTCGGTGAAAGAAAATGAGGACAGAATAAATGTCCCGGTAAGTAATATTAAGTTTGTTGAGTTTAGTAAACTTCGGTGAAATTAGAATACCAAGGAGAAAATAACACTTGAAGAATTATTGCAGCCGTCGAATAT